TTCAAAATTTGAAAAATGTCTAAATCAATAACATATTAAATATTCCGTCAAGTGATAATCATTTTTTAGAAGATTTTAACCCCATTAGGCCATTACAGTTCAATTATTTCAATAATACTTTACTTTTTCGTTTTTCAATATGTAATAAATACTACAAATTCTATAATATAATAAATCATTGTCATGTATGAATTTCGTGTTATTAATTCTTAATTAATTAATATTCACAATAATCTAGATTCAATGAATATTGACTTGATGAATCTTGATCCACATGAATCTAGAGTTAATATAGATGGATTTATTTATATTCATGTATCTATGAATTTTAATGGCTGTTTAAATGTGTGCTTGATAAATATTATTGGGAAAATAATATATTTTAAATAGTGATATGATGAGAAATATGTGGTTAAAAAATAAGAAAAAGTTATTAATGTGATAAAAAAATATTATTTTATTGAAAAATGTTTGGTTGAAAATGAGTTTTGAAAGAATGTGTATAAAACAGGGGCTAAATTCATGTATTAGCAATTAATTCTTATGTACTAAATATAGTATAAAAAGTTGCTCATTTGTAGTATTTCATCATCAAAAAAAATTTGAATCATAGAAGTTGAGTGTTGATAGTACAATTTTCTTCTCTTAAATTTATATCCTAAATTTTATTAGTTCATTTCAGACTCATAAAATCTTCCCAATAAATTGATATCAAATATTATTTTTACAGCTCCTATAAAGTATTTTTGAATAACGTGCAATGTGCATTCAACTCTAACTAGTAGACTACAAAAGGATTACATGATAAACACCGATGAATGATTGGGGGTACAATTATTCAAAAATAATCTTCATCCACTTTGAATACTTACTATTTTAAAGTAACACTCTTTTACCATCTAGTTAGACATTTCCGTCGAGTGCAACATTGTGTCCATAATGTTTAAAAAATTGGAGACACGGGGTCACACAAATTAAAAGTTTGCTCACACTTAGGAAATGTTGAAGCCCTAGAGGAATTTACCCTAGATTCTATCGTTACCTTCGGGTGTTCAAATTTTGGGGTAAGAAGAAAAATGTTAGTTTGGAGATTAATAGCATGTTTGGTGCACATTAAAATGAGAGAATACATTTTTTTGAAGTGATGTAATGGGGAATATGTGATTGAAAAAGAAGGAAAAGTTATTGATGTGATGGAAAATATTATTTTACTGAAAAATATGTGGTTGAAAATGAGTAGAAAAATGAAAATGAAAAAAATAATGAGAATTTTTACTGTTGATGTGATGGAGAATACGTGGTTGAAAAAAAAAGAAAAATTATTGATGTGATGAAAAATATTATTTTATTAAAGAATGTGTGGTTAAAAATGAGTAGAAGAATGAAAATGAAAAAAATAATGTAGCTCAAACAGGGGCTAAATTGGAATAATTAGAAGTTGAGGGACTAAAATGAAACTTTTATGCGACTAATGGGAGTATATTCAATTGCAACTTTTGAATACTTATGTAAACTTTTAAAATGGACGACTTTTCGGGATTTTATGGACTTTTAAGTGACTTCTATGAATTTTTTGAGAATTAATAAAAGTCTTCCATGAACTTCTTCTGTATACTTTAATTAAAGATTTTTAAAGACATCTCATCTTGCAAATTCATTATATACTTGAAAAATTACAATCTTTCTTACTACCTAATTAACATTTTTGAAAACCATGATGCCTACAAAATTTGCTTGAGTAAAGTTATTAGTCCCAACCCAGTCATTCAATTTTGACGCAAATAAAATAATAATAAAATTATATCAATTTCTAAGAACATGACCAAAAAAATTTCATGAAATTAACATAAATTCTAAAAACACAAATTGTTCTTAAAAAAAAAAGAATATATGGAATTCTATGTTTTAAAACAATTGCATATAATTTCAATTCAAAAGTAATTATGTATATTACGCTTCTAATAACGAGTCTCCAAGTCAAACCAAGGCCTACACTCCACGACACCTGTCACATCACACACACTGCTGAGGTACCGATGTACCGAGCTCAAGACCAAACACATATGTGGATCCGAAATTTCTAAGTGACTAAGGTCGGCGTGGACGAAGATGAAGGCACACGGCTAGGAGACAAGCTTGCTGATAGGAGTTACAGTGCCTCGTCTCAGATACAGAACTTTTGTATAAAGATCTATCCAAGATAAAATCTCTCGAATAGTGGATGGGAAGTCTATGTAGCAGGAGCTAAAAATGTCAAGTCGAATCTATTTGGTCAGGAAGTATTAAATACTCGTCCACCTTTGGAGTGATTGAAGAACGTCTACGAAGAGACACTTCGGCTAGCAGATGAAGTCTCGCGCCTTCCATCTAAGAGTCCTTCCTTTACCTCTTCCTCTATACCAATGCTTTGTGCCTTTGTAAATGTTATGTAATTCCACACCTAAAAATCTATTATCTCTTTCCCATTCTATGGTGTTATCCAAATTCTGACGGTTCTCGCCACCAAAATTACTTGCTTTCGATTATCATCTACCGACTTGATCGTCGAAGTGATCGTGACCGCTACCACCACCAAGTCACATCACACACACTGCTGAGGTGCCGATGTACCGAGCTCAAGACCAAACACATATGTGGATCCGAAATTTCTAAGTGACTAAGGTCGGCGTGGACGAAGATGAAGGCACACGGCTAGGAGACAAGCTTGCTGATAGGAGTTACAGTGCCTCGTCTAAGATACAGAACTTTTGTATAAAGATCTATCCAAGATAAAATCTCTCGAATAGTGGATGGGAAGTCTATGTAGCAGGAGCTAAAAATGTCAAGTCGAATCTATTTTGACAGGAAGTATTAAATACTCGTCCACCTATGGAGTGATTGAAGAACGTCTACGAAGAGACACTTCGGCTAGCAGATGAAGTCTCGCGCCTTCCATCTAACAGTCCTTCCTTTACCTCTTCCTCTATACCAATGCTTTGTGCCTTTGTAAATGTTATGTAATTCCACACCTAAAAATCTATTATCTCTTTCCCATTCTATGGTGTTATCCAAATTCCGACGGTTCTCGCCACCAAAATTACTTGCTTTCGATTATCATCTACCGACTTGATCGTCGAAGTGCTCGTGACCGCTACCACCACCATTGGAAAAGGTCACAAGTGACAAACAGTTTGTGTCAGTGTGTAGGGAAGAGCATACGTGAGGCTGCTTTATGTTGGCCACAAATGTACGATAGAATAATAAAAAATTGATTACAGGAAATGAATTGAAGATATATGAGAAAATCATAGATTTGAAAGAAAAAAGACGTTTCTTTTCTAGGTTATGAAATCTTCACAAATCTTGGTGTATGTGAGTTTTTTTTTTTTTTTTTTTTTAGATTTGCTATTTATTTTTTCACCAAATGTCTCCAAAAGTCCAGTGAGTAGAGAATTCTCTAAAAGTCACCGTCTATTTGAATACCTCACAACTTATAGAGACTTCTAAAAGTTTCAATTGAATACCTATGACTTTTGACTATAAAAATCTCAATTAAATACATCTAAACTTTTAGAAAGTAAACGTCAATTGAATATACCTAAACTTTTTAGATCCTTAAAACTAAGTCCGTGTTTGGTACCTATTATTTTTAAAATATATTTCCTCTCTTACGTTATGACTAGGCTATTTAAAGCCTCATGCAAGTTGGCACATGGATTGTGACAATCAACTCCTTTTAGCGATGGGACGCGTCCGGACGACGCGACACTCCTCGTCTCCCACCTCATTGGAGGTTTTCGGTAGGTTGGGTGGGACGAGATTGGACGGAGATTAAAATATCCTAGGCACGTTAAATGGGACGAGTCGAGCACTTATTAGCATGTTCAATGAAAGTGACTTGGATCACCCAATGGTGGGTCGAAATGGCTTGAGAGCCGCTCGCGGCTTGTATAGTTAAATTTTTTATTATTATTCACTAAAATGACATATTTTACTTATTTTGGTGAGTCGATGATCGACTTGCATAAGGGAATCGTTGGTCGGGTCACTAGCAATCCTAAACATCCTTATTTGTCACTCTATATACTTATTTATTGATATAAATTTTTAAACTCGATTAAAATATGAAAACATAAAAATAAAATAAAAAATAATTATTTTATTGTGCTCGAGCTATAGGCCATTGGACTATATAAAAATGCATATTTGAAGTGAAGTACAACGGTACAAGTTCAATTCAAAACATTCTAAAAAAAATGCTTGTGAACTAAGGAGTTTCTTTGATCCGGAATGAATTATTGGCACGCTATGTATTTTTACACTATTTTTCAATTCAAATGTTGCAACGACCATTTTCTCTAAATTTTTGTCAATTGTAATATAATTTTATCTTACATTTTTAGTAAATTTCGATATTAATATATCTAATTAGTACAGAAATGTAATAGTTTTAAAAGATTCAACGATGGTACGAATACTAATATTTAAAGCTAATAATTCAGTAAAGCTTTTAATAATGATTAATAGAGTATATTAAACTATTTACCGTATTAATTAAAATTTTTAGACTTTTCTTAAAATTTGAGTTAGAACACAATTAAAATTCAGTATTACACAAGGAGACCAACAAATTTTTAATTTTTTGTTCAAAAAAGTTATTAATTTTTTTATTTTTTTTATTTTTGGTTATTTAGTATTATAATTTTTTATGATATGATTATTGAGTTAAGGGTATTCAAGAAATTTAAAGTTAATTAAAGCACAAATAAGTAATTGAAATTTTTACTTAAAAGTAGGAAAAAAGTTCATTTAATCTGATCAGCTGCTGCTTCCAGTAGGAGTGAGAAATTGTATATTTGATGAATACTATTTGGATTGCATGGGAAGTAGGAAATACTTCGTAAGTTCTAACAGAAAAACTGTTCTGAATGGATTAAAAGGCTCAACAGAAATGGAGTTGCATCTTCCTCAACTTGTAAAAAGCAGTCACCCCTTCGTGACTGTTTCGTGTTTGTCAGGTTCTATAAAGGCCTGGTTTTACGACCAGATGCCCGACCGCATAGGAGTGCATTCTTCGGGATGGGGTACTCATCTCTCCACGAATTTGCTGGCGAATATACACGAAGGTAGAACTGCTGGCCTAAGTATTGCCGAGCCCAGTTCTCAGATCTTACGTTCCACATTCCCACGTTGTCAAGAGGCATATATAGGGCAGTCCACGAGCCAGGATACACCTATACACAAGTGAAGTCGAGAGATTTGATCAATCAATACACTCGTGGCAGATAATGTATGACGAATAAGGGTGATGTCAAGTTTTTATAATGCACAGGTTTAGAGTACCTGAATGGTGCATCGAGAAATTGCATCCCTCAAGTTGTAACTTGATCTGCTTGCAGGTGACCACTGCCCACCGTCCATCCTGTAAATGCAGCATTGTCAATCATCGGTAAAATGAAGGCAAGGACTTAACCTTTAAGACTTCCCATCGATGCTTGCAGGAAGATGACTGTTGATGGTTGATATGTTGAAGAAATACAGCATATAGTTAGTCATCACAACTAACACATAAAAACGTACCCCATTACAAAGAATATGTGGCCATCGATGTGCCATGACTGCACTGTGTCTTCTGAGTTCTCAAACACAATCTCAACAAAACTTCTGAAATCGGCAGCCATGACTGAAGTCTGAAGGTAACCCCCGGAACCTGTGGGACTGTCTGGGATACTTCCAAGGCTGAATACCCCTTGAATATTGAAATGGTCCGCAAGTTTAAGTGGTGTATCTGCTGGGATGAACGATACGCTATTGACAGCATACCTCTGTTTACCATTGATACTTCGAGCAGAATTTGCCAGTCGGATTGTGCGGGTAGTGTTCACCAGTCCATAGTGATAAGAGCCTTGGGGATTAGGTCTAGGCCCACTTGCAGTTAAATTTTGCCTGATTAAAAACGTTGAATCAAAATATGAATATGTCAAATGTGAACCAACTGTAGCCAAACATTTTTAAAAGAATATATGGACAGTATGTCAAGTCATATGCATGATAACAATGGATCAAAATATATTGATTTTCATCACCGTTTAAATAATAATAGGCAGAACAAAATATATACCTGATGGATCTTGCCTGATTGAGAGACCAATCAATCTCAGTTGTGGGCCCACCAGGAGGAGGACCAGAAGCACTTAATGCTGAGTTGCTGTAGTGAAGAATGGATGTTGCTGTAAGCACTTGTGATGTAAAACGTGTTGAGACGACTATGTAATAATCCTGTGCAGGTTGATCACAAGTGACCAGAACAGAGTAGGACTGGCCCAAGTGAATGTCAAGAGACTCATAGGTGTTCTGCAATGTATGTGTCCCTTCAACCTCGACCAACAACATCTTGTGACCCTGGATTCGGAAATTGATAGATGTCATGAGCCCGACATTTGATATGCGAAATCTGTAAGTCTTGCCTGGCCAACAATTTTAGATCGCATGAGATTATGAAGCAATACTTGCATAAATGTGAAAGTTAACTGTAAGTGCTTTTGTTATATATTACCTTGATCCACTGTAAATGTATTGCCGTTTGATCCACGACCATTTATGAGAAGTCCATCAGGGAAGGGAAGATTTAGTCCATTATCTAGATTTGCTTTCAAATCCTGCAAACTGTGTAATTTAGCATACAAGGTAATAGGCCCTTTTGTAACTAAGTTTATACATTAAAGGGAGTGATCGTTCAAAACTAATTACTGTGTGGTTTTGCCTGAACCAGTCACCAGCCAGAATGGTGTAATCTCCAGCAGGTGGAGGGAAAGGAACTGGTATCACAGAACGGCTGAAGATTTTTATGCCACCAAATCCTCCAGCAGCCTTGTGAAAGGCCAGTGACGGGAAATAGAAAAAGCTACCGATTTGATCTTTGACTTGGAGAATGTAAGTAAAATTCTGTCCCGGTGGGATAGGACAGTTCGTGCCATAGACTCCATCCTGCCAAGAGTTCCTTCTCTGTTGTATGCCATTCCTTACCGAGAGAAAAAACTCGTTAGTGTTAAATATCTTTGATAATGTGCTTTAAGTGTTAAAGTCCCCAATGTTTCTTAGTGAATTTCACATCATACCAAATAAATACATAAACATATTACCATTCACATTTGGTTCAAATAACAAAAGATTATTTTACTAGGGAGGGTTTGGCTATTGAGGGATAAAGTTAAGAGAAACATGTACTAATAGACTCAAACGTGAGTTGGGTAGAACACTTCACTCAAAATTTCCTCTTTATTTTAGTTTAAACATTTCTTGATTTTTGATGTATAATCCTCCATTAACAATAATGAAACCTCTATTGACTGTCAAATCATAATATAAATTCTCATATGAATAGATTAGCATGAGAGTGGGAACAGAAATATACTAAATTTCTACCCTTGATGATAAGAAATCAAGTCACTAGATTTCTTTTCAAAATCAGTTCACCGCAAGGCATTACTTGTATGCTGTAAAGACAGTCAGACAAGGTGAAATTAGTATACTCCTCAAGGGCTGCCATAATTGGAATTTGCTCGAACAGAAGTTGAACGAGGAAGCCGCACTAGAATCTCATCTTTAGAAGTGACCATTTTACCAAATTACATAGACTAATTCAGTCAGCTAGTGGATTCAAGAACACAGAAACTAGACATTTCATTATGAAGGTCAAAGATCCGGAGAACGTCTTTAATGCAGGACTTATATTATATAGTAAATGGTACCATACTAAGTAGATCTGATCCCACTATCTTATACTACGTGGAGCATAATCGTGTCGTTCACTTACCCACTCGACCGGAAAAATGATCTATTGAGGTTGAACTACTGTAAATATGTATCCATACATTTGCTTATTATTGATCTCGTAATCGGATTTACAGCTTTATATCCAAAGCAGCAATAAGAACAGTAGATCTTGAAGAATCATTCCAAACTTCTTTCGAATGGGCTTGTTATTCAATATCAAAATGATTGCACCTAAACACTTTATGCAGTAAACACCATACTTGCGCAATGAATTCCCACCTCAGACACAAACAAGCACATTCAAACAGAGTGAAATCTAGCCAGGCAGCCAATAATACACAATGTCAAGAAATTTCACTTATAAACCACAAAAATTTAACGTAAAGATTAAGAGGAGTGACTCACCAAGAGAGTAGAAAAGGTTCATCCAAGCTATTGAAGACACTGACAATTAAATTTTCATTAGTGACGGTCTCAATCTGTGGCCCTGGAAACTGACCATTAATTAATATTCCCTGCGATACACACACATTTCAGTGTTAATTTCTCAAAATAATGTGAAAAACGGAGAAGAAGAAAGCAAAAAAAATCACCTGTTGCTTAACGCCAAGTGGGTAAATATCACCATAACTAACATTCCACGTAAAGAATCTATATGGGTCTTCCCCATTAGCGAAGCCCAGAATCACCAATACCGTCACAGCCAGTATAACAACACTTGTCATTTTCTCTTCCCAAATTATATGGGTTTTTTCCCTGTTTTACTGGAAGAACAGAAACTGGGTTCGTTCAAATATGGAAAGAAAAGGAAGCACAAACTCCTATACTCTTTATCCTTCTTTTTTCCTTGTAACTTTTGCTTTTGTTTTTGTTGAATGAGATTGGAAGATGCTTGGTTTAGATCTGGTTGTGCATACGATTACGATGTGAGCTACCCTTTTGTAAACACAATGAATGTTCAGTTCAGTGTTACAGAGTAGAGACAGCGTTTGCGTGTGACTGCTGCCACGTTTACGCGCTTAACTCAGAAAACTATGCATAAATAATTCCACCAGAGATCGAACTGTCTTCAACCTAAAATTAAAGTTTAATCAGTTGAAGAATAAATATAAAAATTAGATTTTTTTTGTTTTTTTGGGTAGAGTTTGATTAAAGTTGATAAAATATATGATTGAAAAGTTTTGAATCTTAATTAAAATTAAATGTTGATCTAAGTTAGATTATATTTAACTTTTCAGCTAAACCAAACGTAGACTAAATTTATTAATAAAATTTTATCAAACAAACAATAGAATTTTTTGGGATTAATAATAATATAGGTCGATTACATTGTGCAAAAATTCTTTATATATATATATGACGTGTTCGGTAAAGATTAAAATCGGACTAAAATTAAAAAGCTAGTCGTTATAGTTAACTTTTATTAGACGGGTGGAACCCAATAACGACTATATTTTCAATTTTAATTGGATTTTAAACACGATCGAACACACCCATAGAACTAGGGGTCTCGAAATGAAACTTTTTTCAGTATGGGAACAAGGGATTGCAATGTTTCCCACCTTCGATCCGCCCAACATTATCCCAACTCAAATCGAGCGGAGAATCTGTGCCCCCTAATAATAAGAGAGTTGTTATTTGTACAGAAAATGTGGTATAAGAATTCATACAAATAACACTTGAAATTTTTTTATTAGACAATGAAAAAAAAAAAGGAAAAATAGACCTGTGAAAATTCTGGCGACAATTCCCCTGGGTTGTAATAATAAACGAGGGGTGGATGGGATCATGACCCCTTTCGAATTTCTTAAACTATCCTTAAATTGTTTTATTTTTTAATTTAAATATAATTAATTAATTAAATTGGAAAATAAACGAAATTTACTCTTTTTATATCGTGTGGTTCGGTCCGATCCTATCCGATATCTCTTCTCGAGAATTTCCAATGAAATCGAGATGATAATGACAGCTCCGTGCCTACCCGACCATTGCCATACTCAATCAGAACATTTTGCTACTAAAATATTGGACCAAAGAATCTCAGTCCATGTTAAAATGTAATTGTCCTTATTTTCCTTCTCTAATTTACAACAAAGTCAACAGCTGCACTAACAGGCAACGACTCAAGATACCATAACTGTTGGGAAAATAGCTGAAGAGGTCCCCCATTCTTTAATGGACACTACACTTAGATCCCCAAACTTCGAAATAGAGCATTTACATCTCCAAACGAAAAGAGAAAATGATTCATCTTCTTTACCAACATACAACCCACCCCTTCATCAAATCACCTCCACTCGCCCACCCCAAAACTACCACCGTTTTGACAATAGAATGCAAACTGAAATTATAGCTCTTTGTTATGCTAAATTCAAATAAAAATAGATTTTATAAGCTTTTCATGTAATCTTATAAAACGTCAGAATTCATCTTTTCTTAGAATTTTAAAGATTTAGTGAGATTAGATGAAAATATTATTCTTGTTTTAAAAATCTCCGCCGCATATGTGATGTGATAGTTATTTAGTGATTGTTTGAAAAAACTTCAAGGTTAAAAATATAATTTTAACCACATATTTCATGAAAATCACAACTTCTATGCATTTTTAAGTACTTATTTCATCAATCTGTAGGAGATATTATACCGATAATGTGCATATTATATTCATCAAGAACATGCCGTTAATATGTGTGAAATCGAAATATCATTCGACTTACCGAAATCTGATTTGAGAAGATAAAATTGCGATTTACCGACTTCGAATATCATAATATGAATTCTTCACTTCCCAATATGAGTGAACGCATGTTATTTTTCAATTCAAACCCTTCAATAAAACATATAAATAAATTAACCATATTTTGAAATCAAGCATAAATAAAATCAGAAATGAGAAAGATGAAATGCAAGTGATGCGATCGGTCGAGGCAAGTGTTTGACACTTTTTCCTTAAGATGAATTTGCCCCGCATCGGTGCTAACGGTTTT